AAAAAAAAACGGAAACGCCTCAAAAAAAAGAGGAAACGCCTCAACAAAATAAAGTTTTAAAAGTTTTTTCAAAAAACGGAAACGCCTCCAAAAAAAACGGTAACGCCTCAAAAAAAAGAGGAAACGCCTCAACAAAATAAAGTTTTAAAACTTTTTTCAAAAAACGGAAACGCCTCAAAAAAAAAAGAGGAAACACCTCAACTTTAAATATTAGGAAACGCCTCAAAAATATTCGGAAATCCCTCAACATTTTCCAGTTTTGAGGGATTTCCCAAAAAAAAACGGAAATTCCTCAAAACCGGTTTTTGAGGCATTTCCGCGTTGAGACGTTTCCGTGTTGAGGCGTTTCCATAGCACCGATTTTATTTTGAAGAATTTTTACAGTTATTCTTTGTCAAGTAGGTTGAGTTGCTGGAAGGGTGTACATTATTCAGAAATACCCCGTCTACCCACCCTGCCCTAAGGATACGAAAAACACTAATTTCTAATGATATATATTTTTCGCCAATTTAGCCAACAAAAAATAAACCTGTTAAAAAGGGGGTTTCAAGAAAATATACATGTTTGGGCATTGTCGAAATAAAAAGTATAGACACCTACCTCTTTTGTCACAACCTTCATATTTTTCCATTTGAGTTCTAGATGCTTAAGAAGAAAGTTTTCATTCCCAGGAATTTTTACAATTCTATCAAAAACTTTCATCCAGGCCCTTAAATCAATTATATTTAAAACCTTTTTTTTCATACATGAGAAAGGTGTTCTTTCAGAGAAACCTTCAACGTAATTTGAAGTAACCATTAAAATATTTTTTTTTCTTTTTAAATTATAACGCATTAAGCCAGTGTGCAATACTTCAAGAATGGAGCAATAATGCAGTAATTAATATTATATACGTTACTAGCCGCTTATCTGCCATTAAACGATTTTACTGGGAAACTAAATTTTCGCTATTTAATAATACTAAGGGTAGATCTGAAAAGGAACCCGACATGGAACCCCCAGATTGCCGTCGGTGCGCAGAGCATTAACATGCAGCATACGGTTCGAGCTAACTCACAATTTTTAACGCCCATGAGTTATTCAAGCCGACCCACTCAATTTAGAATTTAAAAACATTCACGTGGTTCTTCTAAGGTCCCCAATAAAATATTAAGGCAAATTGGTTTATGAGTTAAGATCGTGCAAACAAACAAAAAGACAAACAAACACCTTTATGTATGTAGATAAAGATTCATAGAATTTTACAATTTTATCAAAATTACGTCAAACGACATAGGCAATCAATTCAACTTATGACAATCGAAAAATATACACCTTTTCTTTTTTTCCCTCCCTTCCTTGGTCTTCATTATCGAGTTTATCGTATGATTGAGTGCTCCGTTGTCAAGTGATGTTATCAACTCTAAAAATATATATAAGGATCAAAAATTATTTTTTATCATTCATATACTTCGTTTGTGGTGGGATGTTTAATCAGAGGCTGGAGGGATACATTACAATATATAACTATTGAAGTAGGACTACAGTGGTAGAATACAATAAAGACTTTAAAATACAAATTTAAGGTCTGACAGTATTTTTTAGTATCATATTGAACTCATAATGGGCAAAAAATGCTTTTTTAAAGGCTGGCGCCCATATCCGTATCAAAAATACTTTCGTAAATGTTGTTAATAAGGTGGTGATTGATAAAAAACATAATCTTAACGAGAACCGAAAATACTGCTAACTCCAGAGGAGCAACTAGGGGGGAGGTTACACTCCTCAAGCAACTTGGAAGGTGGTAGGCGTCCAGCTGGATTGAAAGAATGAATGGCTAATATCAATAAAGAAATAGCAAAATAAAAGTGGGGGGGGGATTTCGTGCATAATTTCGAATAGAATTTCTTATTATTTTCTCTTTTTCGTTTACAAAATTCAAGTCAATCAACGAATATTGGAAAGTCTAAACTCAAATGTAGATTGATTAATACCTTTCAACGTATTGGCTTGGTCAGAACTCCAGTTAGAAGCCCTCTTCGTCCTTGCCGCTGGTTCCTCCATATACTCCAGTATTCTAAAAACAATTAAATTAAGTAAATAAACTAAATTCTGCCCATTAAGATCAAACTGTTGTGTATGTGAGATTATGGAGGGAAGGCCAAGAAGCCATGAACCCCGTGGAAAATCTCCGAACCCTGTGGAATGGTCTCCGAACCCCGTGGAAGAGGTTTTTTGAAAAAAACGTTATCAAATATAAATATTACTTGTAAATTAGCAATAATTTTCCAATCTTCTCGACATATGGACTCAATAAATATAATAATCAAGTTAAAGAAATAATTTTCATAATTGTTTTAATTGTCTTTTTCTCGTGAGATGGATAGCCAACAATATTTCTAGTAATTTAATAATAATTTGGCCCACTACGACCCACTACTTAATTATAATCCAAGATTTTAAGGGCATATTAGTATTAATTAGACTTGCGGCCAGGAAATTGCAGACCAAGGACTGAGAATTTCAATCAATGTGTTTCATGTTTAATACGCATATATTATATTTAAGTCCAATCACTAAATTAAAAAAGTTAGAATATTTTCCATCATTATTGATCAGTGTCCAAATTTAATGAATTTGAGCCGCGTCTTAAATCCGCCAAAAACTGGTTTCAATTAAGCGCCGGCTTAAATCTTGAAACATTGAATCCAATTTTAAGTGAAACCAACCATATTTGAGTGGCGGCTTAAATTTGAAATCTTTAAATTTGGTCTGATATAAAGGTTTTAATTTTTTAAACATAATGTTTTGAATTTAAATTTAATGATAATATTAAAAAATATATGTACATTGGATTGTCTTCAGCATTAATTATTTGGATACTATGGATGTCCATTCTGATAGTTCTGGTCAATCCTTCTCCTTCTTGTCTAGTCCATTAGATACCTCTCCTTCTTGTCTAGTCCAGTAGATACTTCTTCTTCTTCTCTAGTCCAGTAGATACCTCTCCTTCTTGTCTAGTCCAGTAGATACCTCTCCTTCTTGTCTAGTCCAGTAGATACCTCTCCTTCTTGTCTAGTCCAGTAGATACTTCTTCTTCTTCTCTAGTCCAGTAGATACCTCTCCTTCTTGTCTAGTCCAGTAGATACCTCTCCTTCTTGTCTAGTCCAGTAGATACCTCTCCTTCTTGTCTAGTCCAGTAGACAAGATAATCAATCGATCAATCAATCATTATCTGAAATAATAAATATTTGAGTTTAACAACAAACGAAAATAATGTAAATTGACAACAACAAAGAAATTTTAAATTTCAAATTTGTGATGTGTGTACCCACGCATACCTCTCAGGTATCCTTTCATTTTAATGAATTTTTTATTATAGTCCAAAGGACAATTTCTGGGAGTGCCGAGCGCTGGTTATATTCCTAGTGAACGAATTTTATACCCCCCCGGCCCCCCCCCCTTCTATCAATTTTGTACATGGATCTTACAGAAAGTGTCTTAACTTAACCTAACCCGTGGCCGCAGTGCTCGGCCCCCTAGCCTGTCCTAGCCGCAGGGATCGGCCCAGAAAGTGTCTTAACTAACCTAACCCGTGGCCTCAGCGTTCCGCCCCCTAGCCTATCCTAGCCGAAGCGCTCGGCCCAGAAAGTGTCTTAACCTAACCTAACCCTAAATAATAATAAATAAATACTAATTTACTAATTTCGTCATGTACAAAATTGAAAAAGGGTGGCTGGGGGGGCTCATAAATTGTTCACAGGACAGACCCCTAACCTAACCCTAAATAATACTAAATAAACACTAATTTGGTCATGTACAAAATTGATTGGAGGGGGGGGGGTCCAAAAATCGTTCACTAGGACAGACCCGAGCACTGCGGTCCTCAATTTAAATTATAACCATTGAAAGTAGTAATTATTAAAATAAGTAATTAGGAAAGGTAAAGACTAAGACAGGCCTGTGTGGAGCGCAGCGGCCTTAACAGGCTTTCCAGCTGCAGCCCCTTGGGCTCTAAATATGTCTTAAAATTCTGTTTACAAAAGTGGTATGAGTGGAGGGGCAGGCAGGCCCGTAGCCAGGATTTGACCAGGGGGGGTGCAATATGACGCGCCACAAGTGAAANTCAAGAAGCTAACGCAGAAAATGATGAGACTGATGCTAAGAAAAGAAAAACCACTTAAACCGTAAGCTTAATTCTCTATTTTTTTCAGAAAAAAATGAAATATGAACCAATACTTGAAGCTTGATGGAAAATTGATTTGGCTCTTTGGGAAATCTGGTACTGGAAAAACAAACTACTTTACATCTCAACTTCTTCCAAACTGGCATGAAGGACCTGTCTATGTAAAATCTAAAGACCCTGAAGAATGGAAAGATAAACCTGTTGAACTTTTGGAAAACAACTTTGATATAGCCAACATTGATAATTTACCTTCTAATTGTTTAATATTTTTTGATGATTTTGTAAAGAAAGGACAAGATAAAGACTTTCAAGAAATTGTAAACTTTAACTTGAGACATGAGTCAAAAACATTAATTTTGTGCATTCATGATATTTTCAAATCTGGGTTGTACAGCGATCTATTACAAAGTTCCCATTTCTTTATCACCTTTTGTCCTAGCTCTCTTAAATTATTGCAAATTTTAGACAAGCAATACAAGTTCAATTTTCGCGAAAAATTTCAAGCAGTTTATTCTTTAGGTGTGACCAATCATCATATTGCATACCTTAATACAGATACACAGACTTTCTTTCCTAATTTAAACTTAAGACCTGAGACCGAATTTAAAGAATTTGAGCGACAGTTTAAATTTAAGCCACTGCTCAAATATGGTTGGTTCCACTTAAAATGTTTCAAGATTTAAGCCGGCGCTCGATTGAAACCGGTTTTTGGCGGATTTAAGACGCGGCTTAAATTCATTAAATTCGGTCACCGATCACACAAGTCCTATTGAAATGTTTCATTTTGATGAATCTGAGGTTATTTTTCATTCATTGGATCAACCCTGCCCAAGCTCTGGAATTGTAGAAAATGATGCTGAAGGGACCTCAGAAACATCTGCCATTCCACTTCATTTGTTCAAATGGGAAAAACGTGGACGCTATGTTCTTAAAGCTCTTCAAGGTCTGTTAGATGATAAGAACTGTTTGCTAGGTAAACCAATTAGGATTTTATTTATAAAGTTTTTAAAAAACATTTTTTTTATTTTTAGGCTCTAAAATTTCTGTGTTAGACTTTCTAAAGATGGCTCTCAATCGATGCTCACTTCCTCAACAGCTGGAAACACACAAAAAGAAGTTTACAGCTATACTCAAAAAAATGAAAGCTAAAGGAATACGTTTACCAGAATCCATTGTTTTAAATCCTGTTGCTCAGAAATATATTTGTTAATTTTTTCAGACCTGAAATGATTAGTGTTCGTTCTGCCACCCAGTTCTTAGTTCAATCAGCACCTGGAAATGTGATATCTCTTCCTCAACTTCAATATAAAGGACCCAATCAAGCTCATACTATTCAAGTGCTGAACATTCATTGGGGTAGCCGAGCTGAAACTGGACAGCTTCAAATCTCCATCAAGTTAAGAAATCCTTTTATGTTAAAAATATCCAATAACAATTTAAGTATGGAAGACATTGTTGAAAAGTTTTAATCGCTATGCCAAAACAAACCTGTTTGAAGTCTTGCCTGATAAAACCATTAAAGTAAATGTAACTGAAGGTCAAATATTTACAAATTTACCTGTTCTCTTAAGAAAAAAATATGATACAGTGGATGATATCCTTAAAACAGAATTGCCTGCAGAAACATTTACCTGTTACAATGCTAAACTAGGTACTTCACTTGAGGAACCTACTAAATTACGAGAAACTTTATTTTGTACAGAACAAACTTCAGGGGAATACATCACTCAACTTGTACCTGATAATCTAGATGCCCCAGCATCAGTTCTTTTTGGTTTCCAAGCAGCTGAAAATACTGAAGAAATCTTTATTTTTCCTCTGGAATACTTCACCTCTCTTCTTTCAACAAAGAATCAAAGTCAACAGTTAGCTCATCATATCTCAACTGTACTAAATTTAAGTGATCATGCTATTCACTATGGTTTTAATTTTGATATTATTTTAAATGATTCCACACTAGAATTTATGTGTAGTCAAAATACCACAGATAAAGTTATTTTCAAATCTCACTTTCATATCTACGATTTTGAAGATTCTCCCACATTACCTTCTGAAGAATGGCCTGTTTATTTACAAACCTATTTTGACCCTCAGATGGTTATTCCCCCCATGGTAACTTTGTTACCAAGGTTTGAAAATCCCTTGACACTTCATATTGCTGAAGGAATTGATAACTCTGCTTTTATAAATCAACAATATGAAAAAGTATTGGCCTTGTTAGAATTGCATGCTGGATCATTAACAATTCTTTTTGCCCCTACGCATCCTTTGATCTCCCCTTACGCTATGCATAGAATTCCTTTGGAATTACCTGATGCTAAAAATCGAAAAACTGTTGGAGATCTTAATGTTCATGTAGCCTTAACATAACTTTTTTTTCAGATTAAACAATGACTAGCATTTTCCAGGTATATTTGTTTATATACATTTATAACATTTTTTTGAGATTATTTTATTATAGAGCTTTCATGGATGACTGTTTAGAAGCCTCATCTTTTCTGCTCAACGCTTTCAACAATGATAGTCATATTGATTTGTATTCTGTCCAAACTGATGTGCCTGATCTTCATCTCTTTACCTTTAATGGAATACCTGTATCATCTAACAAAAAATATACCTTCCCACCAGAAATTATTGAGCATCTGTTATCCTTTTCAGATGAACCTTTGAAATTAGCCCTTGTTTTAATTACACAAATTAATGGTGTGTCGGAATATCTGATATCCAATTATCATTTATATCGATACATGACCTCAGCTTTAAATCATTTAAATGAAAATAGATTTTTAACAGTTCCAATGCACAATCATCCTTTACACCCTTTGAATTTTTGATTCCAGTAAAAGAATCCTTACCTGGAGTTTATTTTACAGTCAATCCCTTGTGGAAAAAAGATTATTGTTTTCCTCTGTATTTTCAGGAAGTATTTCATCCTGTAATTGAGTACATCAAAAAAATTCTTCAAGGGGTCATTGAACCTAATTTTGTTAAATTTGCTCATCAAACATCCTTAATAGTTGATTCTAAGCTTAATTCTAACACCTGGAATGATGAAACAATGTTTGTTTGTCAGTGTCTTAGCTGTTCTTATATTATTCTCTAACTGTACATTGTTTTCAGAAAATACCAATGACTGAAACATTGTTGCAAATACTATTTCAAGATCAATATACACTGTTTCAAGGCGATGTTATTGCACCCAAGGTTTTTCTAAAACAATATCCTCCCTCATTTATTTATGAGTTGCTCTACTATTTTTGGGATCTAAAACTACCCATTTGTGTAGCTGGATCTGCCGCTTCCTACACCAAAGGAATTGTGAGACATTTTCAAGATCTAGATGTGTTTATGACCTCTGATGTTTAAGGTGAACTTTTTTATCATTTTATCATTAAAAATTCATTAAATTTCATGTTTAGACGATTGGCAGTGTGTTTAGACAGGCATAACTTAAGAAATCAAAATTACTCTTTCCATATCAAACCTAGAAACGGCTAAGATTGTGAAACCTGGAGAAAATTGTCCTCTGATGATGAGACCTCCTTTGTGTTAAAAACCTATGAATTATCCATAACAAACTTTTCTTCCCTGATCATATTCAACATTCCACCTATTCAACTTATAGAGCAAGTTGGATGGAATCACGTGCAAGGAATAGATTTTACTCATGATGTCCTAAAAAGATTTGATCAGGCAGAGTCTCAATGTGCCTTGTACAACTTATTCAAAGACACAATGCTCCATCAACCTTGCAAGTACTCTTCTGTCTGGTAAGAGTATTTTTTATATTTGGATTTCTAAAAATAATATATTTTTTGTTTAGAAACATCTGCCTCAAGATCATCCAGCCTTAAAGCGATGTAAAAAGTATTTACATTACATTCTATCTCCTCAACACTAACCATGGAAGTGTGTCAAGGCCTTGATCTGAAAGATTTTCCTTGCTTGGATATACCACCAGTCACTAAATTTTTCAGACAAAAAATCCTAGAACAAGTGTGTTATTTTTTATACCAACAGTTGGAACCTAACCTAAACTATGAAGTATGGTTTGATTCTCTTTTCAGACATACACCCTCTAAATATTGTGAAACCTTATACAACACTAAATTGTCCCTGCGTGAACTATTGAATTACATATCTTCAAAACTACACTTGAAAATTACAATTCTTTAAAGATCATTAGTGAGGTCTGTATGCCCCTCAGTACCATGCAGTTTACAAGCTAAACATTCTGAAAAGTGTCAAGTGATGAGTGTGTTTTACACCAGTTGTTATTCAAATTTTTTAAAATGTGAGAAAAGTTACACCTTTATTCTTTGTAAGACAGGATCGATAAGCGGATTATATTTGGTAAAATCAACACTTGACTTTCCAATTCTAACTTCAACTCTTCCAACTAAATCCTTGAATGAAGTTGAACATCTGTTGGCAGAAAAATTCGACGTTCCCAAATTCTCTATACTGGAAAGTTTTTATTGTAATCCCCTGGAACATGCACCCACTACAGTTAACTTGTGTGTAGCAGATTCTCTTTTTACAGGCAGCACTGAAACTATTCAATGTTTAGGTATTACTTATATTCTTTAATTCATTTAAAATTGCATTAATAATGTATTTTTCTTTTAGCTTCCTGGGGCTGGAGTTCTAGCAGTGACATTCTAAATCTAGTTTTATTGTATGCACCCAATGTAGGATGGCAATGTGTCTTTGATGTTTCTCTGGACAAAACCATCCTACAAAAAACACAGCTCCCTTTAAAAACAGCACCTATTGAAAGACCTTTGGAGCGTCAAGATCGAATAAGACTAACCCCAGGAAAAGAACATGATTGTTGCTGTGATAGACTCTCAGACTATTACTTCCCTAATGGAAAACACAAACTTTTTAAACCAGCGGGACATGGAGAATCTAAATGTTTAGCTACACTTTTACAAATCATTGGCTGGTATAATAAGGACCTTGAAAAAACAATAGACCAAGTGATTAAATTATCCATCATCTCATTTGATATTGATTCACTGTGTATTGATGAAACTACTATTCCAATTAAGAAAATTGGAATAGCTACCAAGAATGATAATACTTATACAGAAGGAAAACATGTTGTTCAAACACAGCTGCCTTACCTGATTGGATCCACTTGTTTTAATGTGGAGCGTGGTTTTCAACAATGTCAAAATACACGTACCAAACGAAATCTTTTATCACAGTTTAAAAAAGGGACTCTAAAAGAAGATACTGTGTTTCAAAGTTTGCGGATGTATTTTCCACCTGAGGAATTTCAACAACTTTTGGCTTCTATATTTTCTCAACAGAAATCTCAAGTGTTCCACATAGGAGATAATCATAAAAAACATGTTCAAACAGAACCCGATGCTGAAAACATTGAGGCTATGGTAGTGAAATGGATTCGTTATTGCTACATTCAAGCTAAAATGTGCAAGATCTAATGGACCGACTAAAAATTGTTATTGATGAGATTAAAGTACTAACAGATCGGAGATATTCAGACGTATTCAGTAAAGCTCTTCAAAAGTGTCAATCTCTCATCCAGGAAACTTTTCTAATATCTTTTAATGGAGCCAATTATGATACAGTGTTGATTGAGAAGTTTCTGTGGAATGCTGCTGTTCAATACAAGTTTAAACTGAACATGTTCAAGAAATCTACTTCAATTCAAAGTGTTAACATCAAAATAACAAAGTGGCTCCAAGAAACTGCTTGTTCCATATCTCTAACTATGAAGGATGTGCGAAATTTGGAAGAGCCTAATGTCAATCTAGCCACCTTAGGAAAAAAATACAATCTGGAAATATCTAAAGGATTATTTCCTCATGCCATCAGTGATGGAATTGTTACATTAAAAGAAACTAAATGTTTACCATCAAAGGAATCAGAAATCTGGTACAATATATTGTCTCACAGTAAACCATCCGATCAGGATATTGAACAAGCACATGTAGACTTTGAGGAGTGTTCTGCCCAAAATCTTTATGACTATGCAAAGTCTTATCTTTGTAGAGATGTGGAGGTGTTGTTCAATGTTTTTTTCAAAATATTAGAGGCCTGGAAACTATCAGGAGTAAATATTGTTTTAGCCAGGTAAAAACCCCAAAAAAACGGAAACCTCCCCAAAATGAATTTTTTTGAGGCGTTTCCTGTTTTTTTAAAAATTATCGGAAATCCCTCAAATCCAATTTTTAGAGGAATTTCCCTTTTTTTTTGATCCGTTTCCTCAATTTTTAGGTCGGATTCCGGTTTATCAAGATCTTATATTGTTGAGGGATTTCCCAAAATTTTGAGGGATTTCCCAATATTTTCGATCCGTTTCCTCATTTTTTGGGTCCGTTTCCGGTTTTCAGAAAAAATTTAAAATTCTCAGTTTGTTGATCGGTTTCCTATTTTTTTGGGTCAGTTTCCTCTTTTTTTGGGTCGGATTCCGATTTTCAGAAAAAGTTGTAAATTTTCAGTTTGTTGAACGGTTTCCTCTTTTTTTGGGTCCGCTTCCTCTTTTTTTGGGTCCGTTTCCGGTTTTCAAAAAAAGTTTTAAATTCTCAGTTTGTTGATCGGTTTCCCCTTTTTTAGGTCTGTTTCTGGTTTTCAAAAAAGAATTTTAAAATCTCAGTTTGTTAGTAGGTAATTCCTCTTTATTTGGGCCCATTTCCGGTTTTTAAAAAATGTTAATATCCCAGTTTTACTGGTTTGCAACCTTTTTTTGATCGGTTCCCTCATTTATTGGGTCAGTTTCCGGTTTTCAGAAAAAAAATTCATTATTTTCGAATTTCGATTAATTTTCATTAGTATCTGGTTTAAAATAAAATATTACGGTTTTGGCTTTAATTGGAGTTTTCATCTCCTTCTGGGTCAAAACTGTTCCTTAAAGTCTGTTCGGAACATTTCCTGCAACTTTTAGGAAATACAGGGTTACCCTCAAAGGATGAGATTTCAGACACGATTGTAAGAAATTTATACTGTCAATTTCTAAGATAACTTGTTTTTATCTTTGCCAAATCATCAACTAAGCAATAATAACCAAGTGTAAATAAGGGTGCCTTGAAAAAAAGTGTAGCAGTTGTTGGAATGGATACCTTCAAAGGCATAAAAGTTATTCATTCAAGTTATTTTCTTTTTCTAAAGAATCATTTTGACTTTGTGGAAACTCCTCTTATTCTCCATGCTGTTCTTTATAAGCATAAACAATTTTTGAAAACGGAGATTGACAGTCAGTTAAAGCTAAGAAGTGATATAAAAAAGAAATTGCAAAATCCTTTGCTAAGTAAGGAAGAACGTCTGGTACTGGAATCTAGCTCCTCATGGGCCAAGTTCATCTTATGGGTTTACATTGTTAAAACAAGGTAAAACAATATGATTCCTGTTTAATAGTTTATAATTAAATTTTCTTTGTTTAGGATCACTGCAAACGCCTTATTTCCAAGAACAACTGCTCGATGCTTCCTCTATCTGTCGCGTTGTAGATAAACCTGGCTTTTTAGGATATGAAAGAATGAATAAAGAGCGTTACAAAGTTTTAAAAAAATCAGTTCCCACCTACAGTTCATATGAGTATACATCTCCTCTTGTAGCTGTTGGAGCCTGTATTTTATCACATTCAAAAATTGTTCTGCTAGACAATCTGCACTTTATGTTATCTCATCTAGACCCCGCATTAGCTGAACTTCATTATCTCGGTAATTTAATATTATCCGTCAAAAAAAAAAAAATACTAAATTTAATTTATTTAGATACAGACAGTTGCTACTTTGCTATACATCATAAAAGACTAGGGGATAGTGTTGCAACTCACATGAAAGCTAGTTATAATCTTCTTAAAGATCAACATGTGGATTCAACTTCATTGTTAGGTAAGAAATAACTGAAATCCATGATTCATTCTAATATTTATTTTATTTTAGCTGGGTACCTGGTGACAGAAAATATAGTAGATGTGATGAACATATACGGAGAGAAGATGTATAGACTAGAAGCTCTAGACCAAGGACCAGAAATTCATGTGAAAGGGATACAGCGAGGTCTTCACAGAGAATTGAAAAAACCTGAAAATGCTTCTAAATTGTATGCTGAAGCTCAAACAGTTATCATTCAATCTGGATTTCGAAGACAGCCTGGTGGTGGAGTTACCTTAGAAACCATGACTCGTCAAACTTATAATGGTGTTAAACCCAGAAAGAGAGCTTTTATCACCTCTCAACATAGTATTACATATTAATTTTTTTTGAATCGTTCTGTAAAAATTATTGTTTATGATGAGGGATCTTTAATTCCAAAATATATTCTCACCATCATCAAAGAGATTCTAGACAATCTGGTTGTCAAAACGGAATCATTACCTCCCAAAGATTGTACAGGTAATATTTTTACAAATTTTTAATAATATTTAAATTTACAAGCTTTTTGTTTAGATGCGAACTTGATTGAAATGAACGGAGTTATGAGTGATCTGTGTATGGAGGTTTTAGAAAAAGAGATGAAAGGAATGAGGCTTGAAATATCACTGCGTAAGAAGATTTGGGAAACTGTAAATGACGAATGTAAATTCTCTGCTTTTACAACTTATCACTTGATCCATCAGGATGATGCAGAAGTTTACCATCGCATATTTTGGCCTGTGTGTTTTTTACTATGTGATGAATAATTTTTTCAGATCAATAAAATGGCTCTTTACTCCTTAAAGAAAGATTCAGTACTTAAATCATTATGCCAAGATCTTGCAGAACCTTTTACCTTTGGTGAATTTTTAAATCAATTCCAATGTAAAAATATCATAAATCTTTTGAACCAACATCAAGATTTGCTGTTAGAAGATATTATCCTATATTTTCTGAATCAGCTAAAAATTCAGGTAGAACATAAAAAGTAAAAAAATTATGTTTAACTTCTAATCCTAAATGTTTAGGTCTATCCACTGCCCATGCTTGAAAGAAGATCATTATCCAATAAGGTTTCCTTTGAAATTCCATTTCACCGACCTTTCTGGTGTCTCAAGTCTAATCCTAATTTTGATTATCGATGTCAATTCATGATAGTCATCAACTCCATCATTACCAGAACAACTCTTCTACATGTTCTCAAGTCTTATGGCTACATTGAAAAAATCTATTTTTCTAAGGTAATACATTGCTAATTATCCGATTACAAAAATTAATAATATTTATTTAGACTATGCGATCCTGTCATGTTATATTCCGAACCCTGCCCTGTTCTTTGAAAAAGTTCCCCTGGATTTATATTCAACGCTACATGTTCCCTGTGTACTCTATGCTTTTTAATGATAATTATCCAAATATTCGTGCTCAATGTCAATAATTAATAATAATGTATTTTTGTAAAAATATATTGAAAAATACATCATGATAGATTTTATTTAAATCATTTTTGTTTCAGATTTATAATGGCCAATATTTTCTTCAACTTGGTGAACCTACTTCTGATGTTACATGGTCTGATATTTTAAAATTTATCAAGGATCTGATTTTAGCTGGTGTTTGTTTATGTTTGTTTGTGTTCTTCTGATGTTGCATGGTCTGATATTTTTAAATTTATCAAGGATCTGATTTTAGCTGGAAGACATTTTGATGAACGTAATCCTTCTATGATATTGTGTAAGTGATCTCAACAGTTGGAGAATATTTTTTCAGTCAAAGCACTTCATGTTACCCAGGTTCACGCAGCTTTGGCTAAATCATTGATTGCTTTGGAAACTGATGGTCCTGAAGCTTCAAAATCTTCCTAAAAAGAACAAAAATAATCAAAACCATCAGATCCTAATACTAGATATAGATTATGTGCTAGTTTGAGACAGCTCTTTGAATCAACTGATGTGTTGGTAAAATCTCAAGAATTATTTACTTTTCTTGAAGCAGCAGATCTTTTATCCCAATACATTATCCTCAAGAAAGATCATATATTAGATTCTCGCAATATTGGTGTTGCTCTAATTGATCAGGATCCTCTTGAAAAAGTGTTTAAGGTTACAGCCTTCCATAGAAATCAAGCCTCTTAGCTTTTAATGCAGCATTTGATTGTTGCTCAGGAACCCTCATAGTCCAACAGAATATTAAGAATTCATTTTCTTAAAAAAACTACAAACTACAACAAATTCCAACCTTAAATATACTATCGAGGAAGAAAAAACTATTAAGAATGTAAATATATTAGAACATCAATAAACATTATTTTTACAAAAAACATGCTTTTTCTATCTGTAAATCTTAATCAATAATGCTATCCAAGACATCCTTTCAATAGATAAACTTTCTTATCATATATTTATTTCATCACAGGCCTAGTCACCCTAACCCTAACTGGCTGACTTTACAGACTCATACATCAAAAAAAAGGGGGGGCAACACCCTGACTCAAACCATGACTCAATTGGGCAGAAGCATTCTTATTGGTGGCATTTTGGTTTTGTTTCCACCAATCACAGGCCTAATCAAACTGAATTTATCCAGTACCAAGCTTCAGTTACTTAAGTGTCCATTGGTCAGGGTAGACCCACACTCATTGGCTCCTAATTCATGACTCATACCATGACTCATACTAGGACTCATACCATATTATAGATAGATAGATAGATAATATATATACTTTAAAAATGGGGGGGCAACACCCCCTCATAGGGGGTATTACCCCCTCCCCCCCACCTCCAGAGCAGGGCGGGCCGGGCGGGCTGGGCTGGGTCAACAACCCCCCACATTTCTTAAATGTTGTCTTCATCAATCAATCAATTTAGACGATTCTGAATGTCGTCTTCCATGACACCAACCAATTCCAACCAATCAGAACGCTCCATTCAGGTCACGTGATCACAAAATATCATCTAATAGGAGCATTCTGATTGGGCGCTGCTCGTGTCCTCAAACTCTGCAGAAATCACTGCTCTCCATAGCTTTAAGTTGTAGAATTGACTTGGGTAGATCAGCTCTCCAATCAAACTCTCATGAAAATATTATTTCAATGTCAACTTCTCTTGATTGTTTTACAAAACGGAGAAAATTGAATTCGAAGAAACTGTTAGAGTTGGAAATAAGAAGTCTAAAAAGTTAGTTACAAAAGATTTGACATATGTCCTTGATCCAACAGCTCTAATTCTTCATCTTTGTGAGCTTAGGGACTTGGATGTTATGAAAGCTATTGTGAGAATAGGTATAGATGGGGGACAGGGATCACTGAAGATTATTATGAGTATGTTTGATCTAGATGATCTTGGTGCCAAAGATGAATTATATTCTGGAGTAATTAAAGTAATTGTTCTTGGATTGGTCAAAGGAGTTTCAGAAAATCATCACAACATGGATATACTCTAAAACAAAACTGATCTGAACAGTTTGAAATGTTACCTAGCCTGCAATTTGAAATTACTCAATATCATTCTTGGTTTGTCTGCCCATGGAGGAATGCACAGTTGTTTGTATTGTGAGGGGAAACTTAATGAGAGAGGAGAATTAAGAACATTTGATGGTCTTTGAGAGAATTATTGTTCTTGTATAGATGCAGGATGAAGGAAAAGAACATGAAGGATCACAAGAATGTTATAAATCCTGTTCTGTTGAATAAACCTGATGAAAAACTGGTTTTGGAAAATGTTCCTGTCCCTGAACTTCATTTGCTAATGAATATTGTAACCAACACTGTAAATATCATGAAAGTTCAGCCATCTCTTCAAACTTGGTTTACTGAGAACAGGATTTTTTGGCATGGTTACAATGGTGCAGGTTTAGACGGAAAAAATAGTTTCAAGCTTTTGAAGAAATTGAATGAATTAGATGAATATATAAAACATGATTTCAAGAATTCCAACCTCTCGTGCTTTTACTGAAAAAGGTTTTCAGCAGGTAAAGTTTATAAATCATCTTATGATTAATTGTGTAAATATGCTTCAGAAGGGATTGAGCCTTTGCCACAAACTGAAATTTTCTAATCCATCTACATTTTTGCATACTGATTATGTAAACCTTTGATATTTCAAACTTAGATTATTTGATCAAAAAGAATTTGAAGTAAATCTAATGTTTAAGATATTGGGTTGCAAAGATATAAGGATTAGAAAATCAGAGTTGTGACAAATACTCATTCTCATTTGTCAATTGACTCAAAGCTATCTAGAATTTAAATCATGAAACACTAGCGGAAAATATAAACTTAACTTTAAATGTTTAAATTAAGTAATTTAAAATTATTTATTCAAAGATTAGAAATGCAAGATAGAAAATATTATTTAAATTGAAAATTATTTAGTTGTTGAGGATTGTTTTGAAATGAACCTCTCTCCAACCTATTCAGCTAGCATACGCAAATTTATAGAAACAATTCAGGAAATGCTCTTGGAAATAATTTTATTACAGTGTAAATTGTTGTAAATAAAGTTTCCATAAGATCTAAATTTTTACATTGATAACCAAAGCAAAAGCAAGGTTGTGAAGGAATATCTGAAGGAAAAGTTTAAGTTGAATCTCTCGTTTGGATGGAAAGGACACATAATACAATTTCATTTAGAAGAGTTCCTAAACAAGATTCAGAAACCTCTTGGATTTTTGGCAGAACAAACATCAGAGAGTGTTCACAAGAATATGAAGAAAACGTTATCTAGGTTTTGTGTTTCCGAAACCCACACGTCTCATGGCACCAAACTGCACACATCTGTTGTAATTTATTCCAGTATGTGAGTCTGATTCCTTAGATAGTTACATTAAGATGTTATTTTGTTTCAATATATTTGTCTAGAAGAAATAAAATCATGCATTTCTCTATATTTATGTATCTTTTAAGGATGCTTTGTCAAATTAAGCGTATTTTAAGGTGAAATAAATATTTTTATTTTTTTTGGAATGGGTAACGGCTACAATTTCACTAAAGTAGTCTTACATTCAAGAATAGTCATACAAATTATATGCAGAAGAAAAAAATAGAGTACCTTGTATTTTGATTAAAAAACCTACATTTGACCAGTGCTCACTCAAACCGTTAAAGAACTTAAAACACGTCTGGAGAAGAGTAAACACCCTGATAGACTCATAACCGAAATATCCATCCAGCTGGCAATTGCCACTGTGTTGTTTAATGGCCAGAGACCTGAAGTAGCTACGTTTTTAAGCCATGACGCCATGACGCCATGATGATCTGCTGAGTAGAAGAGAGCACCCCACTCTGAAGAACCACAGTGTTGAAATTGTGAATGAGTAAGTATTTGTACCTTTAATACATTTTTAGCTTTTCTCATCCCAATATCTTTGCAACCAGTTTGTGTACATCTTTATCTGATCATCTAATTCCTATATCTTTGCAAACTTAATTCACAGTTTGAATATGATTATGTTCAGGATGCGTTACACCAAGCAGGGGAAAACTGGCAAAACTCCTCCAATGCTCTTCCCGAACCACTTGATCAGATTGGTAGATTATTTTGCTCAGACTAGTATGAGCTATTTTAAGACTCTGAATACAGCCCGTGCGGGTCAAGATCCCGTGTTCCAAAAAGGGACAGGAGGAGCCATCTCTGTGAAGAATATATACACTCAGAAAGGTTAGAAGGTACAATGTTTTTTCAGTTTAGATATAAACTTTTTTTAGGTTAGAATTAATATTTTTTTTGGGTTAGAAATACACGTTTTTTCTGGATAGTCAATAAAACTATAAATAGACAAGGTTGATAATCAAGAATATTTAGATGATGGGATTTCCCGAGAATCTAATCATGAGGTTAATGGATTCCAGAAAGATTCAAGCATCTAAGCTAGATACCCTTGCTCCTGGTGATAAACGTACTGTCCTCCACAAATCTGTGCATGCACATAGTGCAGTAGTCGTCAAAACAAACTATCTCATTGAGAGGCATGCTGCCTTCGATGAAGGTGTAGCACTCCTTCACCAAGATGACCCAGAGGGTCCTAATCTGACGTCATTTGAAGGTGAAAACATCGAGGATGAACTCACGATTGCTTGGCGTAAGCAGCTTTAAAGGCTCCTAGAACGGGAGACCGAAAAGCTGAGATCTAGAGCAGATACGCATGCTGGACAGTTTGTCCTGTCTGAGATAAAGAATTAATTATCTATTAATGAAGGTATTGATTCTTAACGACTTGACCTATATGAAGACTATGCTAACCGGAATGCCAATTAATCTTGGCAGTAAGAGCACGCAAGCAGATCGGGATGATTTTATCCTCGTGGTTGTCAATCGTGATATGAAGCTTAAAGAATCGGTACTGGGTTTTCTACCTGCATGTGAATCGGTAGAACAATTCACTGTGAAGTTGAGGGAATCTCTCATCCTTGCTAATCCCCATGGGATTTACTTCGTTTCTAAGAAGCTAGCCAACTATCATTATAAAACATCAACACCTAAGAGTTTGAAACAGATCATAGCTCACTGTGCATCATCATCTAGTGATGAGAATGAGTC